TGAGAGGCTTCACCAGAGACAGAGTGGGGAGCAGAACAGACAGATCTACGAAGTACACTGCTGAGGGGAGCAGTGGGCGGGTCAGGAGAGGTCTGCCAGGCCATGTGGTCACCTCCAGGGCAGGCGGGAATCGAACTCATGCGGAAGTGGCTTTAGCTTCTCAGTGCTGTGCTTTAACCCACTGCGCCACCAGAGAGGACCACACATAAACATTCTTAAGGAATCTTGAAGGAAGACCGGAAGCTCCACTAAGTGGAAGATGTATTGATTCACATTCAGAGAATTAGACAGTTAAATGAAAGCATCCAGGGGGGTACTTAATATAAATTTTTTAAATTATATTTTATAGTATAGGTAAAGGAACACACAAAGTAGAAAAGTGATTTTAAAAGACTGCAACAAAGAATTAAATTTTGCCCTGTTATTGCAAGTACCTGTAAATATGACAAAGATGGGTAGACAGTACTTCTACTCTTGCTAAAAAGCTTGTCTAGTCTCACTATAAAAGAAAAACAAGATCATCTTATCAGAGAAACAAGATGGCCCACAATATTAAATTATCTAGAAAGCTATGTGTTAAATATATTTAATTTTTAAAATATACTTAATTTTTAAAATATATTTAATTTTTATTTATCCAAACAAGAAGGAACAAAAACATGTGAGCATTAATGTATAACCTTTATTATGATTTTTAGCTTTACCCTAGATAAATATCACCTTGGGATACAGGAGTATATCTTTAATGTAAAACCCTTAGGGAATAGGAATTGAGAATTCAGAATTTCTTAACTTTTTCAAGTCATTGCAGTGCCTGTGCGACTAACTCCCCTCTAGCAGGATTTCCTGCAACTTCCCATAACCAAATATTTAACATTTCTTGAGAAAAATGTAAATATTCACACTATAAGATAACTTATCCTGTAAGTAGTATAAATGATCAGAAAATAATTGTTTTAGGCAGTATCTACTACCTATTTGCTGCAGCAAATAATCTGGTAAACAACACAAACACGACAAGCATATTACTCCATTTTCTAGAGAATAAGAAGTCAGTGTCTCACACAAGGCATGGTGGGCCCAATGGAGGTCCCAGAATGATGCCATTTGGCAAAAAAAGACAATCTTCAGTGGTCAAAGCAGCTGATTTAAATGGAAAATGAAGAGAAGTTGATGCAGTCATAAATTTTTATACTAAAAACACAAAAGGACTGAGGTGCCTACCATTAGCATAAAACTCATTGATTTGCCAGAATCTGAGCCTTCTTTGAGTGGTCACAGGGAGAGTCAGGGTCTCCAGGACCATGTAGCCTCTACCTTTTGCTTCCATCTGTGCTGCTTGGTGAACAAAGTTCCCCTGTCCCCTCAGCCTGGAGACAGAGAACCACTTCCTGCTCTCTTTTTCCACTGCCTTTCCTGCTGCTGTAGGGGAAAATCCCCACTGGAAGAATCTATGGATTCTTAAGGCCAGAAGCTTAAAAGCCAATAAGGTTGGACTCTTGTTCACAATGTCTTTCATCAAATGGCCTAAATTCCTTTAGTCCCTTGGGTTGTTTCCATTAAATTCAGTCAATTTGATTTTTTTTTCTCTTAATGAGTAACTTCTTTTGAAAAGACAACATGTCTTGAGTGATTCGTTTGGTATAATTGTTTTTCTACTAAAGTCTAGCTAAGATTAGTCTTACCTGAGTTCAGTTTTCTCTTAAACAAGCATGTTTTGAGCACCTGGTCTACTAAATGGGTCAAATAAAGATTAAATATCAATAGCTCTATGCCACTACAAGTCAACTTTTGCCATCAAATGAGCTTCCCCAATCTGGGAAAGGGTGATTGAGGAGAGAGGGGTAAGAGGGAGAATGGTATGGGCAGGAGAAGAAAGTCATTGGACAAACAATGACAAAAGTGACAAATGCCATGAAAGAGACAACAACGAAAGCCATGCCAGCTTACAGTGAGGGAATTCAACTAGTCTGAGGTCAAGGAAGAGTAACCCAACTGGGCGTTTGGGGGCTGGGTTAAAGCTAACCCAGAAAGGTAGGCAGAGCTTGACCTAAGTTGCATTCCAGAGATGGTGACTGTGGGGTGGACAGCCCAGCCACGGAGAGCTCTGTAGATTCTCATCCTCATGTCAAGTGAGGTGACTGACAGACTTTAAGTAGGGAATCACCTTAAGTGATCTGGATTTTAAATAAATTCTGATTGCAGTGAGAGAATGAAGTGTGTGGGGGAATCAACTTGAGTTCAGGGATGTTGGAGGTTTAAACTGAAAGGTGTCAGTGGAACGGGGGAGACATGGAGGGATTCAAACAGAGGAGGCAAAATTCACAGAGCTCAGCAACTTATGTATAGGAGGAGCAACCTCCTGGACTCTGGCTTTGGGTGTGGAAGTCCTATAGTGGGGAGCAGGTAGGGGGTAAGATAATGGAACCATATCAGGTAATGTTGTTTTTGAGGTGACAGCAATTCAGCAGCACTTGGATGCAGGTTAGAAACGCTGATCTGGAGTTGTCAGCAGCAGCACAGTAATCACCCAGCACTGTGTGAAGAGTAAAAAAAAAAATGCAGAAATCCAACACTTGGGGGTTGAAAACTGATGTGGAACTGATGGCAAAGGAAATCATGAAGGAACAGCAGGGAGGAAGGAGGCAAATGAGATGAGTATGACATCACAGAATCGAGGTCAATAAAGACCCTGAGAAGTGTCCTTGGTCTTGGGACCTTTGTGATTAGGTCCCAGGTCACTGCAGCTTTGATGAGAGTATTTTCAAGGAAGGTGTGGCTATGGCGTGGGCTGAAAAGTGAATGTGAGATGAGGAAATAAATTCACAAGTAAAAAATTCTTTTTCATGAAACTGGGCTATAAAAGGAAGAAGAAAGAAGGTGTCATAGGAGGGAGAACCAGGTTGAGGGTTTTCGTTAAGTAGTTTTCAAGGCTGATGGGAATGCCGCAGTAAAGAAGGGGCAGTTAGAGACAGAGAAGAGCCAGGGAACAGTGATTAAGAGAAGGTTCCGGAATGAGCAGGCGGCTGGGATCAACAGTGAGCGGAGGGTTATATACCAGTGAATGACACTTCCTCCCCATGACAGCAGAGGTCAGGGAGTGGATGTGATGGATGCGTGTAGGCTTACAGATATTTTGGTGGGAAGTCGAGGGACTTACACCTGATGACTCCAGCTGCTCAACAAAGTAGGAGATAAAGTCAGCTCTGAGAGTTCACCAGGGGGAGAGGTGAAGTCTGAGGCCTGTGGAGGAGGTCTGAAAAAGCAGCAGCAGAGAGGAAGAGCACAAGCCAGCAGGGTGGGTGGGTCACATGGGGGGCCCTGGCTGAGACACAACCCACGTACAATGGCTCCAGTCTGCCTGGGGTGAACTTGTGCAACTTGGGTGAGGTGGGCAGCTGACACGTGACTGGATCTGTGCAGGGCTGGGGGGTTGCCTGGCAGGTGCACTGGAAGGAAAATGACACAATATTTTAAGCTGCTGCTAGGAGAGTGATTATAGTGATGAGCTGTAGAATCCAGGTTAGATAGAGAGGTAAGTGCAAGCAGGAAGTGGCCAGCAGGAAGTGGCCAGTGGGTGTAGAGAGAATCAAAGATTGGAACTTGTTGGCTAAAGAAAGGAAGTGTATAAATTTAGAGCAAGAAATACTTGGGATTACAAAGATGTTCAGAGACTTGGATGGTCAAAGAGCCAAAGATTTAGTGAGGAGAAGTTAACAACACATGTAAGTGAACCACACAATCTCTGCCAGATTAACCTCTTGCCAAGCCTAGGTTTGCACCAGCAAAAGAGGGGGGAAATGCAAAGAGGGGGCCCTTCCTGGTGGTAAAGCACAGCACTGTGGGGCTATCCGAAGCTGCTGCAGTACAAGTTCAATCCCTGGCCAGGGAGCTGACCCGCATGGTGCAGCAGACCTCTGCTGACCTGCCCGCTGCTCCCCTCAGCAGTGTATCTCAGTCAATCAGCTTGTTCTGCTCCCCACTCTGTCTCTGGTGAATCCACTCACCTCCTCTGCACTTCTGGCCTGTACCCCAGTTCTGTATGCACACATAAATAAATCTTTTTTAAAAATGCAAATAGGAACATAATGGGTGGATAGAATTGTAATAACCCCATGTATTGTGATTATGTACACAAAGAATTTAGAATTGAAGAAGTTTTTAGAAATCTTGCTTTGAAATCTAACTACAGAGGCTTCATTCCTAGAGTAAATGAGGAAAGAGACAAGATCATCTGAAGGAAACAGCAGATCATCTGAAGGAAACAAGAAGTTACTAAATAGAAGTGAGGATTAGATTTAGTTTTGAATCTGATCATACCTACCATGGACCTGCCACATGATGTAAACATGAGTTTTAAAATATTGCATAATAGGCCCCTCCCTGGTGGTGCAGTGGGTTAAAGCCCAGTGCTGTAGGCAAGCTGCAGCCACTTCAGTGCAAGTTTGATTCCTGCCCCGGAGGTGACCCACATGGCGTGGCAGACCTCTCCTGTCTTGCCTGCTGCTCCCCTCAGCAGTGTACTTCGTTGATTTGCCTGTTCTCCCTCCCCACTCTGTCTCTGGTGAATCCTCTCACTGCCCCTGCACCTCTGGCCTGTACCCCAGTTCTGTATGCATAAATAAATAAATCTTAAAAAAATTGCATAATAAAGCTAATGCATGCTCATGATCCCTCTATGTGGGCATTATGCTTAAAGTTATACATGTTTCTCACATTCAATTCCCACAATTCCCTGAGGTAAATACTCCTATTATCCATTTTACTGATGGAGAAACTGAGCTCTAGAAAGGTTAAGTAAGTGAAGAGCTGGGTACGCTGACTAGCAGTCTTAATTTTTCAGATAAAGATGATAATGACATTTGTGGTGTTATGTGGAATGAACCATTAAAATGAAGGTAATTCACAGAAAATTAAGTTCACCTAATTTCAAAACACTAACTTTGATGACACAAAGGCACCAATTTAACACATACAAAAAATTAAATCTCAATACCAACCTATATTTCTCTGAATTAGCATGCATCCCTTCTTGTCCATGGTAGAAAAATGGCTTCTGCTTGAAACACCAAAGTCAAAGCAGTACTTATTCCTCCCCATGTCAAACAAAGTGCAGTTGAATACTGTTCTTCTTTCTCCCAAGGTCAGGTTATTTTCAGCCAGGAGTGTGGTCCTTTCCCCAGGGAGTCTAGGGGCCTCCTTAAAGACAGTGACTACTCCTTGGACAAAGACACATGGTGGGGGCAGCACCATCACCTCCACCCTGGACTCACATGTGAGTTCTGGAACCATCACCAGTTTGTATCCAAATTTCTGAGCCAGGTCAATGGGTCCAGTGGAGGTAATGAGAGAGTTTCGGCCGAGCAACTTCAGTTCCACTGTGACGTAGGCCTCGGGTCCCACGGGTGCACAGTCAAACTCAACCCACTGGGCTTGGGAGAGCTCTGTCCTCTTGCTGGTTCTTATCACCAGTGGCTGCCCCTGATGTGTTCTTGCCTTGGGAAGACTGTTGGTGAAGATGACATCCACCAACATGTCGGGTTTGTCTGCAGGGAATGGGCACAGTGGCTGATTGGTAAAAAGGCCCACCTGGAAGGTGCCTTCTGCTGCCTTGGCGGTCCTGTTCAAGTCAATGTGAAAGACTGGCCATTCCACCTTCAGAAGGGCACTTTTCTCCCACCAGGACTTTGCAGTGCTGTTGTCTGTTGCTTCTGAGGTCATCGTGAACCAGTAGTCCCCTGCCTCCTTGAAGTAAAAGCACTCAAACTCCAACGTTCCCTCGGACTGGTTGGTCAGGAGGTATTTGGTGGTGACAGTCTGGTTGGTGCTGGCCTCCAACAACAGGACAGACACATTCCTCAGCGTGCCATTGGCACCATCCAAGATCTGGAACTCCACAGGCACTGTGTGGTTGCTCAGTGCTACATGTCCTCTCCCTCCAAGGAGGAGATACTCAGCTTCTCCCAGAACTGCAATGGAATGATCAGAATTGTTTTTAGAATGCATGTTTAAGTAGTACTAAAAGTGACAGTGTGAAGATAGGATTTTAAACAGGAGAGGCCTGAATTGAGCCAAACAGGAAGGGAAATGCTGTAGGGTTAGAGTACTGCACTGTGTCTGCTCTAAAGTGACTCTCTTCTTTCATAACTATGTGTAAAACAAAAATCAGTTATAAATACTCTGAATTCACAACAGTCAACAGCATATGAAGTCATAATGCAAACAGAAAGAAAGAGTAACAACAGACAATTCTTCTTTTTTTTTTTTTACCTTTTGTTATACACCAGACAATTCTTAAAATATAATGCAGAGCCTCACTTTTCTTATTTTAGATATATGTTAGCATATTGGTATTTGGGGAAAATGGATACACAGTAAAAATGTTGTTTAAATGATACAAGGCAAACTTCTCTAGGTTACTTTAAAATAAGAGATCCTGGCCCTCCCTGGTGGCGCAGTGGGTTAAAGTATAGCACTGCAAGCTAGCCACAGCTGCTTCAGTGCAAGTTGGATCCCCAGCCCCGGAGGTGACCACATGGTCTCACCCGCTGCTCCCCTCAGCAGTGTATTTCATTACCATCTGTCTGTTCTGTCCCCCACTCTGTCTCTGGTGAATCCTCTTACTGCCCCTGCATCTCTGGCCTGCACCCCAGTTCTGTATGAACAAATTTATTAAGATTTTAATAAATCTTAAAAAAAAACAAAGACCCTAATCTACCTCAAATTCATTCTTTTTTTCTGATGTTCAAGCTAAATACTAGGGCATTTTTGCCAGTAAAGAAACAAGTATCCTTGCTTATGTGAGGCAACATTTGTAGATAAGCAAGAAATGTTAACACTTTATTCTGTATGAGTCACCTAAGGAGTAGAGTGAAATCTGGGACATCACGAGGCTTATCCTTGGTAATTTTGAAGATATTACTGCAACAAGTATCATTAAAATTAGATATCACTCAGTTAGGATCAATCATATCTATTTTAAAAAGACCCAGCAGAGCAGTTTAAGTAAACAGTAAAAAGAACACAGACACACAAGAATCCTTGTTTCTATTTTGAATCTTATCCAAGTATACATCAAAGGAAACAGAGTTTGGCAAAGTCACAATCAGCTGGCCCACGGCTAGGGTAAAAAACAATTCTAGATTCAAGGGACTGAATTTGTTGAAGACGACATGTGTTAGCAAGCTTGCATTATTATTATAATTATCTCACATGTATATAATACATACATATACATATGTCCAAAGGGGCTCAATGCATTGCATGGACTGAATGCCTTTAAATACACCCTTATGTGATTCAATCATTAACTGAATGATTATGAATCACTGAGTGATTCATGAATGAGTCAACAAGACTATATTGACACAGAGGATTTTTGTTTTCAATTAGCACAGCACTTCATTCATTTCCTATTTAAAATGAGATGAAATTCAAAATGTAAAACTTGATTGAATCTGAATGCTTTATCACTACTTGCTTGAATAAAGGTATTTTAGTCAAAACAAGTGGAGGATACTCCCTTTTGGATGGAGACAACAGAAGGTTGTTGTAGAAGGCGGCTGACCCTTGTCCAGCTCGTGTGCAGGTTCGGGGTTGACCCAGCACCACTTGTGACCAGGTGGCTAAGGCACTTCAGCATACCCCAAGGAAAGAGGTAATTTGAGAACAGAAGTCAGATTAATGTGAGCCTGGTGGAAAGCATGCTTCTGTGATGCATTTTAAGGTTGAGAAGCATACACCATTTAGCTAACAAAAGCCCACTGTCGATGACAAATTGTCAGTGAGGCAGAGATTCTGATTTGACAGCAACCAACCAATGCAAAAGACACACATGCCCAGTTGGAAATGGAGAGAAATGAAAGAATTGCCGGGTTCCCATAGCAGTGGGTTAGAAGTGTACACTAAAGACAGAGCCTGCTACTTTACTATGAAACCGCATTTACGCATTTTAGTATATCTGGTAAGTACAAGCTACTATAGTCTAGGTGTCTCTATTCTTTCATTTTTTTTTTCTCTTCCCATTCTTTTGTACTATTTAAAAGAACTGGGATCTCAATGTGAGGATGCTGTTTTGAAAAAATGAAATTAACTGGCATTGGTATAGTTTGATATGTATCAAGTCGAGAAGGAAAAGCATAGCCTGTATGTTCAACTTGTATGTTCTATTTTGTGCTCATTCAACTTTCATTTTTAAACTCCAGTAAGGCAATCTGCTTCAAAAATATCAAACACCCTAGCAGACTTAGTTGAAATGGAAAATTTTGATGTCTGTATTTATCATGATGAAAACCAAGGACACACATAATTTTTTCGGTCAAGTATGTGTTACATGTAGAGCAATCTGATTTTAAGTAGGGGTCAATTTACTAAAGTTTGCCCAACTTTCATTCTGAGGCTACAAGAAATAAGTCCCAGTTTGGTTTTCCATAAATTATATATTTTTATGTTCCAATAAACTTTCTAAAGTAGAAAAGACTGAGGACTTGCACAAAATGATCAAAGCACACTCTCCATGCACCTGTTTGCCCCACGGACAGCACAGAAGCACTCTTTACTTCTTGGATTGTAATTTTCATCAATTAGAAGATACTCCCATGTCATTAACTGCTGAGCAGTCTATGAAATATTTATAAATCATCAAAAGGAAAATAGTTTTATATCATATGGCTGAATCTATTGGTTCAGTTGTCATATGAAACTCTGAACAATGACTTTCAGATTAATCAAACTGAAGAAAACTAACACTGGGCCCTCACTGGTGGTGCAACGAGCTAAAACAAAGCACTATGAAGCTATCCACAGTCACTAAAGCATGAGTTCGATCCCCGACCAGGGAGGTGACCCACATGGCACAGCAGACCTCTCCTGACCTGCCCTCTGCTCCCTTCAGCAGTGTATTTCATTGCACCTGTCCGTTCTGCTCCCCACCCTTTCTCTGGTGAATTCTCTCACCACCCACACTTTTGTCCTGTACCCCAGTTCTGTATGCATAAATAAATAAATCTTTGAAAAAAAAAGAAAACTAACATTAAGTAACTGCTGAATGCTCAGGTATTTAAGGTGTTTCACATTCTTGATCTGATTTTGTCATCACAACTCTGAAGTTAATGTTACGTAAGGATGAAAGAGGTCAAAAAAATTCGAAGGCATAACACTGGCAAAAACTGAAAGGTTGATTGCTTTTACATCATTTTGTACATTTTTTTTTTCATCTCAGTTGTAATCCCCATGGGTTTCCCATCACCAAGTCGCCCATGTGCATCACCATAGTCCCATGCACTTCCCTCCTCCCGCCCCCACCCCTATTTTTGATTCCATTCCCTACTCCACCCCCACAAAATGTCTCTGGTACTAACTTAATGTTAGTTTTCTTTTTTTTTCAAAGATTTATTTATTTATGCATACAGAACTGGGGTACAGGACAAAAGTGTGGGTGGTGAGAGAATTCACCAGAGACAGAGTGGGGAGCAGAACGGACAGGTGCAATGAAATACACTGCTGAACAGTCTCTGGCTGTTAATTATTCTTATTATTTTCTTGCCTGGTCCATTATACTCTTGCTATGTGTGAAATCATCCAGTATTTTTCTTTTTCTCTCTGACTTATCTCACTAAGCATGATCTTTTCCAGCTCCATCCAAGTTGCTGCAAAAGACATGTGTTTCTTTTTTTTTGGTTGCTAATATTCCATTGCGTATATGTACCAAAAAGGCTGATTGCTTTTAAAGATTCTAGCGGCAACACTCTCATATCAAGTGAAATCATATGTAGAGCCCTATATTCAAAGCTTTATTTTTAGTGTGAGTGAGTAGAAAGTAAATGTATACCACTGAACTGCCAGGAAATCAACCAAAGGGAAGTCAGGATAACACACATTTGTTAAAATGAGAGCGAGTTGGCTTTTCCCTCCTCTAGTTATTTATTAAAGACTTATAAATATATTGAAAGTAAAATGGGAATAGTGCAGAACCTGAATAGAAACCAAAGTTACAGCGATGACAGATTGAAAGGACCTGCACTGTGGAGTCTGCCCTGTCTCCGTCAGGCAGGCTTACTAGCATCAGTGCATTTTAAAACTTCACATTTTTGTTTCTTCTTCGATACCCACAGCACTCGATATGCTCTCAATACTCACCATAGTCACAGAGCACCACCAGCAATAGATTTGAAAAGTCTTTCAACATTTGTTTCATTCTGATCTGCAAAATCCCAGGTCTTTGGTCTCCTCATGTCCTTTCTCACATCCAAATGGTGGACTTTTTTTTTGTTTGTTTGTTTGTTTGTTTTCAAAAAACACCTGAAATTAGAACCTCAAAAAAATGATGACTGTTCAAATCAAGAAATGGCAAAGCATTCTAAGAAGTCAAACTTCCTGGATGACACTAGCTTTCTAGGGAATGATCTAGAATGATACATACCCCTTTTATTCCAATATAGCTCACCTGTTAGGAACATTCACAGATGTCCTACACCAAGATTATGTTTGCAAAACACCAAGTCTCTTACATTTATAGCATATTCTTAAGTGGAAAATTTACTGTTGTTTGTTTAATTTCATCAAAGCTCATAGCCAATCTGGATAATGCATTCTCACTGAGTTATGTGCTTGACATTTCACACTGATCAATAATAATTACTAAATTATGTCCAACTTTTATTCTGCCTTGTGCTGCTTGCTTCCACAAATGGAATTCTCTCTTTTTAAAAAAAAAAAAAAAAAAAAAGATTTACTCGTTTATGCATACAAGAATTGGGGTACAGACAGGTCAGAGGTATGGGGAGGTGGGGGTGAGAGGATTCACCAGAGACAGAGTGGGGAACAGAACAGATAGGTGCATTGAAATACACTGCTGAGGGGAGCAGAGGGCAGATCAGGAGAGGTCTGCCATGCCATGTGGGTCACCTCCCTGGCTAGGGATAAAACTCATGCTTCAGAGTCCCTCATGCTTCAGAGGCTTTGGAGAGCTTTGCAGTGCTCTGCTTTAACCCACTGAGCTACCAGGGAAGGCCCCCCATATGGAATTCTGAACACGTCTTTCTTACACAATGAGTGTGTTTTCTGGATAGTTTCATTTCTTTTTTATTATTATGACAATTGTTACCTTTTATTTTTTATTATATATTTTTGCATCATTCTTCATTTTGTACATTTTTCCATCTCAGTTGTAATCCCCTACCACCACTTCACCCGTGTGCTATCACCATAATCCACTTTTTAATGCCTAGGAGCTACTGCAAACTAATCTAACCTTAAAAAAAAAAGATTCCAGAATATTACACTTAAATGTGAACTCTGTGTGACCCCAATCTCCCTTGTTTAGAGCACTCTGAAGAGGAAACAAATAATCTCTGTCACTCTTCCAATACTTATTCCTGATTGTATGCAACATATGCAACAGAAATAGGTGATTTCATGCAATAACCTTGCTAGACCACCAAGGGCAGAAAGACCTTGTTCTCCTATGGTTCAGAAAGATTTGCGGGCACTTACTTTGATATAAACAGACTATTAAACTACAGAGTAACATGGAGGCCTATTATGTGCCAGTTTTTATCAGTTTTTATCATAGTCTAGTAAACTATGAACTACTGAAATAATCAGATACATACTTTCTTATGTTTAAATTCCCCCCATTTTCCACAGTTAATATATTTTAATATTCCATTCAGTTTATGTATGTTAATCCCTTCAGGTAAGACAGAAATTAATGTAACTTAAAAGCCTGATTAACATAATAAAAAATTCAATGGAATGAAAACTGTTGTCTCTATAGCTTTCTTTCAGTAGGAGCTGGCTGAACAAAGGAAATACCGTACTTCCTCAAAGGGAAGCAGACATTTGAAGTGTAATTATGCAGATGTTAGGGCTCTCTCCTATCCTCAACAGAGAAAGAAAATTCTGTTTTGCAGGAATCAGGCACAGATTTGACCCATTCCTTTCCTTGAACATTTAGAAACCTGGCCAAAAACAGCAGGCCAACATCAGCATATCTCACCAAGGGAGGGCCTCAGGCAATTCAGATGCTTCCTTGAAGTCACTGACAGAAATTAATGTAACCAAAGCAAGAAGAAGCTATAAGCAGATCTTAGCTCTTAAAAGTTGAACTGGCTGGTCTCTCCCAAGTTGCTTGCATCTCCATGACAACCACACTTTAAAAAAAAAAAAAGCTCCTAAGCCCAACTGATTTTGTGATTATAACACTTTCCTTCTTGTGAAAATGACCGGTGAGACACAAAATTGTGTGATAATCTATATTTAAAGCTGAATGGAAATGGAGCTATAAAATAAACCACCCTACATAAACACCAAAATATGGATTTTTTAAAATGTTCCCAAGCTTTTGAAAATAAATGCTGAATTTTTACTAGTTTAACCACTAATTTGAAGGTGTTAACAGAGCACCCCAAAGTGGAATAGAATGCTGAGTTTAAAACGTGTGCCACAAGGGTGGTTTGGTGATGGAAGCCCACTGGGCTTACAACTGAGATGGAAAAAGGCACAAAATGATGTAAAAATAAACTATTATATATTTTTAAAAAAAGTGTGCCAGTAACAGGACTCACCACTTACAATTTTTAGCTTGAAAATCAGTTTGAGAGAATAAGAACATAGGTATATTTCACACACCTTTAAAAACTCCATAACGTTTACACACACAGTTACACACAAATTTTAAATGTATCAGTAAGCAGAAGGAGGCTGTGTGAATATTCTCAATGGCTAAAGCCATCTGGACAAACTAATCCCATGTTTTTACTGAAACCAGCTAAAATAAACACTTTTGTATCCCTTGCAGTGTCTTTTCACTGCTGCAGAAAATGCAGTGAATTAAACCTAAATCCACGGGATCAATGCCTTACCAAAGAATGAAAGGGAAGACCAGAGCAGCATAGTAAGTTTTCCTTTCTGACAGACTTGCACAGCTTCACCTGTATATCTAACATTAACAACCTTCATTGGGTGGAAATCCCTAAGTTTCAATCGACCCATAGAAACACGGTTGGATCGTATGAATATATTCAATGCAGCTGACTGCCCCGACCTACAGCTAGTGCAGCTTTGCTGGGAAGCTGAAAGCTTCCCACATCGACAGAGCTTTACAAAGGCTCGAAAGTCAAGTCCAAGCTCAGAACTTTAGCACTGACCATGTCGTCACGCACAAAGCCCTTCTAAAAAGCGGACACTTCGAGAAAGCTTCTATCTGATACCTTTGTTTCCCAGAAAGGATTCCTTTTTGGAAAGCAGCAAACTTGTTCTGAAATGCTCAGTATCCCGAGACGCTATTCCACTACGGTCCCGACTAATCGGGCTCAACCACCGTGTACCGTCAGCCTCAGTTCCTCCACAACACCCGAGCCAGAAAGAACAGGGTTCAGGTTAGCGCCTCGCCTCCGAGAATCAGAGACTCAACACTTTTTCAAGTATGTCCCTGGGGACAGAGGCACCCAGAAAAGACGATGATCGGCTGCATCCAGGAAACAGCACCGTCCACCTGTACTTTCAGGCTGCGGGGTGGGTGGGGGCTGCAGGGTGTGGGGGTGCCGAGGGTCCGCAGGGGAGCAACCCGGCCACTGAGGCGCCGGAACTCCCGCCGGGCAGGGAAAGGCTCCACTTACCTCCCCGGACTGGCGGCCAGGACGGGCTAGGTGGCCGAGGCCTCAGGGGCCGCAGGAGAACGCGATGGGCATCCCACGTCCCGGGACTGCGCGTGATGACCCGAGGCGCTCGCCTCCCGCAGCCCCTCCCCGATCCGCCCCTGACGGCGCCGGGAGGGCGGCTCCGCGAGGGAGGGGGGCCTCCGCGAACTGGGG